CAAACACGTTTAGAAAACGTAAACGCGTTTAGAAAACGTACGCGTCGCATATTATTTATACGAAATCCTTACTGTCGATCCAACTGTTGTGACTCGCGTCCAGACCCAACCATTTGACAAAGGCCTGGTTTTTCTTGCGACGCAGAATTTTCTCCACCAGGAACGTATCCTTATAGTTGGTGGGTTGGAGTTCTTCGCGGTAAAATTTTCCTTTGATGATCGTATCGTGCGCGTCTTTCAGATCGTACGTGATCGGAACGGTCGGATTGACGCTGACAATCTTGAAAATTTCCGTGCTCCAATTCGGTGTGTATTCTTTCTCGAACATGGCTTTGAGTCTCGAGATCCGGACGTGATCACAGACATTCAGTTTTCGTCTGGCCAGACGTCTCTTTTCAATTTTACTCAGCGGCGGTCCACGAAGCTTTTGCAGGATCATCGGTACATCCTTTTCGGTGACATCGATTGGTTTCATACCGATGGTGCGATGAACGCTCCCGTTATATTCACGGATGAGTTTCGGTAATAGATCTACCCACTTGTACGATCATTGCGCGCTAAACTCTTTCCACATCTTCGTTTTGAGCGTTCGGTTGAATCGCTCGACAATGGAGGCTTTGGTTGTCGAGAACGAGCTGTACATATTGATCTTGTGACGCTTCATCAATGCTTGACATTTGGAGTTGTAGAATTCTTACTTACTTAAAATACCGTACTTGACGACGCGGATAGTTTCGTCGTGCAGGTTTATGTAGCTCCTCGACGATCCCACGTTTCTCTGCCGACATGATAATTACCGTCGACGTCGTCGTCGTCCGCTCTCTCGATTCAAATGCTGTTTCGATGCTACTATTTTAACCAGACGATTGTAAGATTGCTGAAGTTGGTGGATACGCTCCAGACAATGTTGACCTAATTTCATAGCTTCCTTCCACTTCCGTTCGGACCATTGTTTGTTCACCGCATCCTCATCGCTTTCGGGATCTTGCACTTGACGAATCCGTTTGTTCGATACGATATAATTTCCGTCGGAATCCAGTGAGAATCCGTCACCTTTTGGCCCGCGGCGTGATTTCGATCGTCCAAAACCGTCCGTGTGACTCATCGCAACACTATTTTCCTTTCATTCGATTCACAACCTCTAATTGACTGATCCTACTTTCCAATCGTGATAATTTCGTCTCGAGTCGTTGCGTGATACTTTTGTATTCTTCCATTTTCTCCATACAAAGCTGTGCTAAATACATAGCTTCCGTCCACCTCGACTCTGTCCATTGTTTGTTCACGGCGTCGGTATCCTCTTCGGGATCTTGCAGTTGCCGTATCCGTTTGTTGGATACAAGATAATTCCCGTCGGGATCCAGTAAGAAACCGTCACCTTTGAGACCTTGCTTCGTGTTGCGAACGTAAGTCCCTTTCGATCTTCCAAACCGGTCGGTGTGACTCATTTTTTGTGCGGAACCTTTATTTAGGGTATGTAATCCGCTTCGCGAAGCTCTTCGACGATACTCAGAATTTCACGATCGTGATCGGTGTGACCAGCTTGTTTCGAAGCTACAAGTAAAACGAGACGTTGGGCCAATTCGTTCGGATCGTCCCAATAGACGAGTTCCCGTTTCGCACGGTGAATTTTGATACCTGAGCCTTTCTTCAATTTTTTACGCGATGACTTCCTCGTTGATCTCGGAGTCGATGTAGCGAACAAAGGTTTGATGAGATCGCGGTATTTTGGACTGCGGTTCGAGTTGGGTCTACCGTGTGGATGGTGATCCCTCCAATGCGCATTGGTGAGCGTAACTACTCGTTGGAAATTAGCGCGATCATCTGCTGTGTAATTACGCGGATGTTTCTTAAAAATGAGCTCCAAGAACCCGGGTGTCGGTTCGAACACCTCATCGCCACCGTCCAAGATTAGTCGTCCGTCCGAATCGAAACTTATGGTTCGGTTTCCGATAAGATAGTTTCCGTTGATTGCTTTCTGCACACCATACGTGGTATCGGATTGTTTCGGTTGTTTCTCCAGATCGTCCAAGTAGAACTGTACGTGCGGGTCAGTGTTCATGACTCGAGAATCGACGTCGTCGTCTTCAGTGCGACTCGTTGTTTGTTCTTTACCCGTTGCGTCTTGGAACGATTCATCATCATCGTCATCATCATCATCCTCTTCCTCCTTTGAATCGTCATCATCATCATCGTATTTGTATCGAAAATGTATTTTAAAGGATTTTATTAATTTATTTCCCCTTGGAAGCTATCAATTATAGATGGATATTGAAGCAGATGGGCACTCTTTCAGCTTCTCAACAAGGTACATTAAAACTTCAGTTTATCGGATTGCTCTTTTGGTCCCTCCTAGGACTTCAAGTAATTCGAATCAACAGATTTTGCAATTTAATGTATAAATTCGTCAGTCCTGTAAAATCCGATATATGGAGGTCTTACTGTATAGAGCTTGACATTAGACTGAAAGGTTGCTATGCCAAGAAATGATGGTCTTTCTGTATCCATTCCATTACATGTAGTCTTTTCTGGGAACTGTATTGATCAATTGTCAAAATCTTAGGAGAGTTTTAAAGTGAAGAATGTTTCTGATTTGAACACTTTGTTACCGATTTGAGTCATCTTTTTTACTTTGGAAGGTATAAATTAATATTTGCGTTTTGGATGACCCTCTTATATTCTAGCATTGATAGTTTCTAAGAAAAGGAAAGTATAAAATTTTCTTCCTTTCTCCTGCTTCCCTCCCTCTCTCTATCATTTCCTATTTCGTGCTCTTTTGATCAAAGCTTTTTACATTGCAAGCAACTGTTGGTATCAATGTTAATATTTTTACAAGTTATTTTCTGGATAGGTATACAGTAAATTTGCACTGAGACTGCAACAAGAAGAAAATAATTGTTGATTATTATGAATAATCTGCAACCAAAAAATTATTTGAACGACTGTCTGAATACTTCTGCTTTCTTGTTGACGTATACAACTCTTTTTGATTATTTTATGCTATACCTTAAACTTGAAGGGGTTTCTAATGAGATTTTTAATTTTGATTTGTTTTCTTTTGTTAGGCCATCAGTTGATTCCATTCCATGACTTTACATTAATTGCTCAAATGTATTTCTAATGGTAACTAAGCAATGTCCTGTAGCAACGTTTGAATTTTGTAGATTAGTGATCGGTGCCAGCTACAATAACCATGTCCTTGAATTATGATAGCTCGTGGAAATTATTTAAACGAATTAACAATGGAATGATTGCTATGAATGCATTCTTTTTCAAATTTTGCTGTGATATGTGCAACTAAGAAAATTCTCAATGCTGTTTTCTCATCCGTTTTCAGTACCTCAAAACATTGTTCGAAATATTTTACTCAACCGATTTTATAAATATTCAATGAAATATAAAATTTCTAGCCCCTTTTACTCACAGTTTATTGTCTTATGCAGTTTGTACTTGCGTTTTTTAAGAGTGTCCAAAATTGTCTGTTTTTCAAGCTTTCACTACTGGCTGCCCAATTTATTAATTTTTTTTTTTTTTTAATGGAACATCATTTGAGGAAATTGTATTTCTTGAGTGAATTCAAAGAAAATATTGCATAGACATTAAAATAACGAGGAACCAACTTATTTGAAGAAATGGAACCCAAACGGGGTGTCTACCAGTCCGGAATGTCCGGAAAAAGTACGCATTTTTTAAGGTCGGTCCATAAGTACCTTAAAAGTATGTAAATCTCGCCAAGGGTCCGTAATTTTTCGCATTTTGCGCTGCGCGTTCAGTTCGATCGCCTTATAGTTATGCAACCCTCTGTGCGTTGGCCGTCAGGCGTATTAGTACAATGTCAGCCTGTAAGAACCCGGTTGTTGTAGAGGAGCGGAAGAAGGCATTTCCCTCGATTTGACGGAAACAGCCGAAAAGGCCACGGGAATAGCCGAAGTAAAGTGTGCGGCAGTGCCAAAATTGAAGAATTGCGATGCGTCGCAAAAAAGGTACTTAAAAAGTACTTAATTTTTCTCCAAAGCAAGGTACTTAAATTTTTCCTTAAGTACCTAAAAATTACTTCAAAAGTACTTATTTAATTTTTGTGGACCTCAGTAGACACCCTGCCAAACCATAAATTAGAGAAAATTTTACTTCCTTCACCTCGACTTTTACAGCTCCTCAATATTTTTTTGCAGTAATTTGTTCGAGGCCTGTATTTTTCAATGATTTTTTGATGGTGCAATTGGTGTTTTAGCCCCTTCCCCTTTCAGGAACCTGTTTTTGTGTTTTTATTGTGTTCCATTGTTGCTTTAGGGCTTTTTTTTTATCGCGGATCAGGGTGGATCGCTGTGGAATGCACTGGACCGGAATCCTGAGCGATCTGGACCTATCCAAAGTGTTCCAAGTGATAAAAAAAATCCAAACTTGGAATTTGGTCTGATTTAATATTGTTTTGATCAGGGACAGTTTTGATTTGTTGGGGACGGCAACTTCCTTGCATTAGGTTAGGATCACAGTGGATCGCAAGCTCGCCTTACCTCGGAAGAGCGATCCAGCGTTCCACCCTGATCCACCTGGAATGTTTGGATCACGACTGAGGAACGGAATAAAAAAATACCGATGTTCATTGTGATCCACCGCATTCCACTGCGATCCGCATAAAAAAAAAAGCCCTTTTTACTCTTTTGAAACCCTCAAATTAATTTTCTGGGCACAGGCAGCCCTTTCACATCCTCTCATATATTTAATAAGAAAGGATAGACTTGGATCAGTTTCATAGAACCCTGTCCCATATGAAGTTAAAATTATCTGAATCAGTCAAATGATGAATGAATATCTTTTGCCTGCTCTATCTTATTCTTCGTTTTAACAAAATCCAGAAGTTTTACCTACAGTAATATTTTGATCACCGATAAATCATGGTGGGAGCTTGTGCTGGATACTGAAAACGCCGTAAGAATATAAATTGCTTAAAAACATTTAAAACCACATGAAATATGTATGAAAAAATGAGAAAAACTCACCTGATTAACATGGAAGAAAGAATGACGTCATAGTGCGTCGAGCTTTCGATGCTGTGTGTGCCTGAGGAGAATCGTCGGTATCTGCCCAAAACTCTTTATCATTTGTCACCATCCACTGCTAAGTTATAGTCTTATCCTCATCTTCTGGCTCAAGTATTACAAGCGTCAATTGTGCTGAGGCACCATGTTGCCAAATCTTAAACTTTTCAATCTTTTACGGAAAAACTGATCAACAGAATCACTTGAAAATTTTATCCAATATTTCTTCCGCCGTCAAGAATAATTTCTGTTTTATGAAAGTATGCGCAAAAGTTTTAAAGCAAAATTAAAACAATATTGAATTGTCCAGCAACACACCTTCTAAGCGTTAATAAGGCTTGTGATATTTTGGGCGGATGATGACTAAGGTTTCTTAATGGAGGTACTAAATAGGGCTGAATTTTACTGAACCTGTTTTAAAAGTCATGGGATCTGTGTATTTAACTATTATCTGGATGTAAATTCAACTTGACCACCTGCCATGCTGAGTGAAAATGCCGCATGAGTGTTCGAATGTTGCCAAAGTTCCTTTCAGAAAATATTTATTTTTAGGGAAAGCTATGAATATATTTTCTCGTAACTTTTAGACTTTAAATCAAATTACGGACAAATTTCTCTGAAAAATCAGAAGTAAAATAAATACAGATTTTATTAAAAATTCGATTTTTGAAAGGAATTCAGCAACATGCAGGGAAACTAGAATATGCACATAAAAAAGGCATACATTGCATGTATGAGTAAAAATGATCCATGCATGGCCGTCACTTTGATGATGTCACATGCCCTCTGCATGAATTGAGTGTGGTTTAAATCTTCAGCTATGGAGTAAAACCAAAGGTATTGCATTTTTGTGGTCAAAGAAGCACAACATGCTCAAAATAGTCGCCCTCATCAGCGCAAAATACGACTTGTAACTAAGTATTTTGAATACTTGCACTCGTGAAAATCAATTATGGCTCATTCATATTTTTCATTATTTTGTGTGTTTAAATGGGCTATTCGGGTACTTCCAGTCCTATTTTTTTTACTCATGTCGATTTTTCTAAGATTCATTGGTTTTTATTCTAGCATTTTGGTACTCAAAACCTGGGTCTCATTAAGTTTGAGCTAGGTATCTGATAGGTATTTGAGCAATGCACTTTTGGGTATACTTCAATGCATTCTCTTGTGCTTTAGCATGCTTTAAAATAGACTATAATTTAGATGTCAAGGACTGATATCAAATTATATTATCGGTAGAAAAATTATGACATGTTCCAGTACAGTTGACACATGTTGCAACCGTACTGCCACAACATCGCTTTGAAACTGGAGCTTTGAAATTTTGCCAACGCAGTCAAATTTTATGAATTCTAAGTTAAGAGTGAATACTTTTCGTGAAATTTTATTTCGTGAAAGTTTCCAAATTTTATCAACCTCCGAAATTTTTAAACATCAATTCACGAAGATACAGTAGTATTCCAATGTTACCATAACTTAACAAAACCAGAAATCTATGCTTAATCGAGGTTTATTCTAAGTAGTTTCCCTAAGAAATATTTCTATCTGATTTTTAGTACCATAACATTTGGCTATTTTTTCTCTCTCAAAAAAGTTCTCAACTTAATATTTTGATCAATTTTCCGGAAATATTGTCATATTACATTTAATTTTAACCAATGACAGAAGTGACGGTGAATGGCAGATTTTTACCATCTATCTGCTGGTAAGTAGTAGAAATTGCTAAGTGTCACCCTGGATAAGATAGATTGGTCAGAATTGTAACTTTAGATACAGCAAATGGATTCTGCACTAGAACTGTGACAGTCGTCACCCCTCTACCAATTGGCTAACTACTTTAGGTGTTGAAAAAATAAATCATTTTATAAACCTTTGAAGCAATTTGTTTCAGTTCAATGTTATTTTGAAAACCTCAGCAAGAGGATAGTATGTTGAGACAACCTGGCAACTATGTTTCAAATCTTTTTCAATCAAAAATCAGTTTCAAACATGCGCCTTTCACTGAAAACTTTGTGCTCTTCCCTTATCTATTCAAATCTTCGCATTTCTCTCTTTTCCCACTCTTTATTAGACCTGTGAGCGGCCTTCACCAACATTTTAGTGATCTGGAGAGTGATGGCGATGCTTCGGGAAATGATTAATTCATAGTGATCCCAGTACCTATTTGAGGAAATACTTCATATTTGCGGTGGCCGTATTGTCTCAACAACTAAAGCCAATTATTAGTTTTCTCTTTGAAGGAACATCTCTGTGTTCTTTGAGTGCAGAACTTTAAACCCTTAACCCGTTTTTTAATGCCCAGCAAGCCAACTTTTAATGTTGACCAGTCCTTCAATCATTTCGGCCCCTCTTATTCTCTCCTTTTTCTTTCATTTTGAATCATAAGTGACACTTGCAAGTGATCACAAGAAAGCTGCATGGATACTGAGCATGTCATAATGCACACCTTAACAAAAGAGATATAAGCTACTTGTGGGGTATAGAACCTGCCAATCATATCAACTATTTTCCTTTTTCTTTTTTTGCCCAATCTTCTGTAATTCTCTTTCTTTGTAAGAGAAAACTCCGCAAAGGATAAATTCACCCCCCTTTTCCTGTATTAAATACATGTATTACCCTCTCTGTCCAGTAGGTGTCTCTCTGTACCAGATGAATCTTCAGGTCCCTTGAGATCCACTACAGAGAGCACTGTATTAGTTTTTCAGTAGATCCATGTTAATGGTAAATGACTATTGCATGCTTATAAATATTTTGCTACTGGAGTCTAGGATTATACCTGTCGTACACACTTAAGGAGTAAAATTGTCTTAATTAATTATGTCGTTAATTTTTTATTTGCGTTTTATTTCAGGGAGTATCTAGGACGCCAGCTGGAAAAAGAGCAAGGATCAACAACTACTACAGCAAAATCTGCAGCTAGAGTACTCGCTGGTAAGACCTCTATGTAGCTTGACTGCTTCAGAAATTAATCAAATCTTGTATCTGAAGATCATCATTTGCTGCGGTCATATTAAACACTAAGATTTTTCCTGCCTATTATTATCAATAGACGTGGGTAAATTTACTGATGTGGCAGTCCATTGACCTGTATTAGCTAAAAGCCTGCTAATTAGGAGTATGGATTTTGGTGCCTTCAACGAAGACTTGTTACAAGAAGTATTACCCAGACTCTTAACTATGAGTCAATGACGCTGACTTTTTGTATTGTATCTTTTAAAATTTCTAATTGAGGTGAATCCTTTGTAATGGGTCAGTTGCGCTGGTCACAGGAGTGCATTTTGATGGTTTCAAATCATAGATTAGCAAAAAGGAATCAGTTATGTCCAGATGCTTAGTTTTTCCATCCAGTATTAATGGAAATATTGCCCTTTTAAAAACACAGTGTATGATGTCATCCACTGCGGTAGCTTACACCATGGTCCCATCCACCTTTGATTCATCAATTAGTGATGTACACATTTGTATTGGTAGCTCTACTTAAATCATAGATGAAACCAAGGTGGAAGAAACTATAGTATGCACTACTGTGATGGATGACGTCATACGCCATGCTATTTGAAGAGGAATATCTCCGCTGGTATCGGACAAGAAAACTTGGGTTTTGGACAGATCTTGTCATTTTTTGCTGATCTGTAATCTGATGTCATCAAAATACAATTCTGAGACTAACGCAACTGACCCATTTAACACTTTGAATTGTTATCAAGGAGGGAAGCTTGGATTTGACGAAGCTAATCGCCAATCTAGCCGAAATAGTAATTTTGATGGCCAGCTTGTAATATGCAATAATTATCTTCTCGATGGTTGTGGATTTTAAACTTGAAGAAGTAATGGCTAATTAGTAATTATTGGTAGTCTCACACATCAAGACAGCCGTGCTAAGGAAGAACGCCGCATAAACCTTCAGGCGTTGCCAAATTTTCTTTCATAAAATCCGAATTTTCTGGTAAACTCATGACAATTTTTCTCCCAATTTTTTCAGATAATATTCGTAATTGCATCTACAGGTTCTGAAAATTGAAAGGAAAACTATTCATAACATTCCTCAAAGATAATAATTCTATCAAAGTAAATTTGGCAACTCTGGAATGTTCATACTGCGTTCTTCCTTAGCACGGCAGAAGAGGACAATGATTCAGTAAAGGCAGGCAGGGGCACAGAGCAGCTGAGTTCCTCAGGTTTTTTCCTAAATTCTTGAAATTGACCTTATGTTTTCTCGAGGCTCCTCTCCTCCAGTAAATATTTTTTAGCCTCTTTCTCCTCTATTTTATTTTTTTTTTCATAGATCTTTATTCAAAATGAGTATGCAGCTCAAATGAGGTTTTTAGGTTCTTGCATTTATTCCTACGTTGCAAGAAATTTTTCAGAGCTCTTAAAATGCTATCTACTTCCCTGCCTCAAAAGTAGTGAAGCAATTCTATTAATCAATCGATTATTTTGTAAAGACATTCACTAATTTCCTTTGATTTTCTTCTAGAGGTATAGATCCATCAAAGTCAGTATTGGTGTCGATACTCAATTCAAAGCTTATCAACGGCGTAAGTCCGCAATCACATATCTCGTTTGCGGTGTTTGAAAATCTCAGCCTCTATGCTATTTTTTTAAAGGAGAACAAATTTACATCATTCCTTAAACTTTTTGCAGAATTCTCTTTGCACAGAGAAGAAAAATCACTGCAGTTTTAAGGAATTGCCGTTGAGTAGTTTTCCGTTTAAAAAATAAAGTATGACAGTAAGTCTGCGACGTCGCAAATCAAGTTATGAGATTGCCAACTTTCACCATCGTTATGTCTTTACAACTAAAACTAAATGGAACAAAACAGAACCTCAACATTGACTCCCAAATTCAGTGTCAAAAGGGCTCCTATCTAGAAAACCAAGTACCTCAGCATCTGCTAAATTTTGTTTTTTGATACAATATTCCTTACGACATCTTGGGCACCGTCTCACCATCAAAAAAATCCTGATATCAATAAGATCAAGAGTATTTTATAGGGGAATATCTATAAATCTCATTCGAATAATTTTGTGAGGAGGTCAAATTGATCCTGTTCTTACATCTGGACTTAATCTATAGTAAAAATACATTCAAAAGAATGAAATAAATAGTCAAACTTCTGAAACAATAAAAAGGATTATTCCAGATCTAATAATATAGTTGATTTTTAAAGATTGAGATCCTTCGTATAAGGATTCTCGAATAACATCTCGCCATCAAGCTCTCAAACTCAAACCCTCTGTGCACCAGGCTCGAGAAAAGCAGGGCCAAACAGTGAATTTTTCTGTATTTTTTCTTGCAATATTAAGTAGATACTAGCCATTCTGGGCGCGCTTCGCGCGCCCGGCACGTCTAGTCTGGGGGCTGCGCCCCCTGGACCCCCGGTGCGAGCCGATTTTGTAGTGGTTGCGAATTTTTTTTCACTTTATTATGAAGATTTCATAGAAAACATTATTAAATTTTCACTCCACAATTAACTTGTAGAAAAATAATGACGGGGCAAGAGATAGACTGTATCTTGAAATGAACGGT